GCCCTAACTCAGGGCTTCTTTTTTTTTTTAAAAAAAAAGATGACCGGTAAGGGGATCTTAACCCTTGACTTGGTGTTGTCAGCACCACGCTCACCCAGTGAGCAAACCGGCCATCCCTATATGGGATCCGAACCTGTGGCCTTGGTGTTATCAGCACCGCACTCTCCCGAGTGAGCCACGGGCCGGCCCTAACTCAGGGCTTCTTAAGCTGGACTTTGAGTATTCCATGAATCTCCCTGAAATTATATTAAAAAATGTATTCGATTCTCAAAAAGCATCAAAAAAAAGTCTAAGAACGACTATCTTCTAACTGATTTGTCTTATTTCCTCCCCCACCTCTTATTTGTTCCTCCACATTTATCTTATCAAATATTGTCAACTAATTTCTCTCAGGTCCTTGGTGCCTGTGCCAGTTGCTGTGTGGAAGTTGGGCCTGAACTACCTTTAAAAATAACTCTTACTATTTAATGTGATAGCAGTGCTCCCAGGACATGTGTCACCTTCATAGCTACAGTCATTACAACCTTACACTGTATGATGAAAGATAACTCAGGCAATTAAAATACTCCAAGAATGCAATTTGCAGGATGATCCTTGTAGTGTACTCTAGTCCAATTCTGTGCAACCAGCCTTAAGAGGACCACTGTTACCTTGCCTCTAACCAGACACACACCATGGTAGTGAGAAAATTTAAAACCTTTTAATAAAAACAGTTTTGAAAGAACTGTTTCCTCATATCTGCATGGCTTTGTATATGCAGTTCCTCCTGGAATAGGTCTGATGTTGCCACCTCATGGAGCCCTTCTTCATTCTGCTCCTGCCCCAGTCTCAGTTTCATACCCGTTTTCTACTCCCAAGAGCTTAGAAGCACCATGAACCCAGGGACCATGTGTGTTGGTTTGCTTTTGTAAACACAGCACTTAATGCAGTTCCTGGCATAGTCGGTTACTGGCAAATATTTGTTGAGGGAATGAATTTTCTGTCTTTCCTAATTTGACTATGGATTCCTGACAGTAGAGCCCGTATCTTTATCTTGGTATCCTGTGAGGCTGGGTATTTGATCAAATGGATAAGAGATGAATATACACACATGGAAAATGGATGAATCCAGGTAGAATATGATAGCTGTCTTTAAGCCAGTCCTGGGCTGTCCTATAAAAAAAAGACAAAGCTGAGGATGGCTCCAGAAGGCAAGTTATAGGGAGGCAAATTTGGCTCAAAGTAAGGCAGGATGATTGCAGGGGCAGGTGGTGGAAAGGACCAGCTCTGGGAGTTGGGGGGGCGTGGTTCCTGTTGCTGGAGATGGCCAGCGGCAGCTGCAGAGCTATTATAGAGCAAATTTCTGACTCAAGTCAATGGTGCCAAAGGGATACCTTTTAACTCCAAGGTACTCCGGTTTCTTGACCCAGGTTGCAGGGCGTCTTCATGTGGAAGTGATGCGCATCACAGGAGCTGTTCCAGAGCGTGTGGTGGAAGATGACTCTTCAGAGAACTCCAGTGAAAGTGGGAGCCTTGAAGTCGTAGACAGCAGCGGGGAAATCATTCACCGAGTCAAAAAACTGACGTGCCGGGTGAGAGGACAGTGATGGGGAGGCTCTTATAAATGACATTTTTTTTTTTTTTT